ACGACGGACGACGACGGACAAAAGGCGATCGCAATAGGTCACTCGAGACTTTGTCTCAGGTGACCTAAAAATTTGGCCTGGAGCTTCCTTGGGCAAAGGGGACTTAGTTTTGTATAAAAATGGGGTGTGGTCCCTCTGGAAGCAGAGGGGCGGGGCTCAATAGGGGAAATTGATTGATTTTAAAATCGTTAGAATCCTTCTCGTTCTGTACTATTGGAGGGATTTTATCCACATTTGACCTGGAATATCCTTGGGCAAAGGTGACTGAATTTTGTATAAACTGAGGGTGTGGCCCATCTTGGCGGAGAGTTGCGGGGCCCAATAGAGGAATTTGAGGTTAAATCTTTAAATCCTTTTTCATCTGAACCATTGGAGGGATTTTTTGTGATAAGAATAATTTCCCATGGTTGCTATATTAGCTCACCTGGCCAGAAAGGCCAAGTGAGCTTATGCCATAGTGTGGCATCCGTCCTCCATCGTCCGTCCGGCATCAACATTTTACTTTAAACAACTTCTTCTGAATAACCAGAAGGCCCAGAATGATGATATTTGACCAATCACATACTGGCAGGAAGGGCTACCAAGTTAGTTCAAATGAATGACCTTGACTTATATTCAAGGTCACTGGGGTCAATTATTTAAAAAAAAACTTTCAAACAACCTCTTCTGAATAACTAAAAGACCTAGTGGGAAGATATTTTGTCAGTCACATGCTGGGATGAAGGGCTACCAAGTTTGTTAAAATGAATGACCTTGACTTATGTTCAAGGTCACAATTGTCAATTATCTTAAAAAACATCTTCTGAATAACTAAAATGTCTAGGGTGATGGTAGTTGGCCAGTAACCCTTTAGCCAAGAGGGTCAGCCCCACTACTTGCACAATTTGAATCCCTGCCTCCCATGCATGCTTCCAACCAAATATGATTGATATCCAGTGCATAGTTATACAGAGGAAATAATTTATAGCAATATAGCCAAATTGCTCCCTTTTGGCCACGCCCTTCAGCCCCACCATTTGTACAATTTTGAATCCCCACTTACTAGGGATGCTTCCAGTAAAATATGGTTGATATTCATCTCTTGGTTCCAGAGGAGAGGTCGCTTAAGGCAATATAGCCAAATTGACCCCTTTTGGTCCCGCCCCTCAACCCCACCATTTGTACAATTTTGGATCCCCGCCTCCCATGAATGCTTCAGACCAAATATGATTGATATCCATTGCACAGTTCTACAGAAGAAGTCGTTTATAGCAATATAGCCAAGTTGTCCCTTTTTGGCCCCGCTACTTAGCCCCCTGGGGGGTTAACCCTACCATTTGTACAATTTTGAATCCCCACCACCTA